TCATACGCAGGTCACCACGAGATGTCGCTTTCCCCTGTGGGGCATGCGATCTGCGAAGCTGTCGCCACTCTCGTTGGCTGCTGGGAGGCCCAACGGAGGTACGTCATACGCAGATCACCGCGAGACCTCGCTGTTCCCTGGGGTGCCTGCGATCTGCGAAGCTGTCGCCACTTTCGTGGACTGCTGGGAGGCCCATCGGAGGCACGTCATACGCAGATCACCGCGAGACCTCGCTGTGCCCTGGGGGGCCTGCGATCTGCGAAACTGTCGCATTTTCGTGGGCTCCTGGGAGGGCCAGCGGAGGTACGTCATACACAGATTACCACGAGACCTCGCCGTCCCCTGGGGTGCCTGCGATCTGCGAAGCTGTCGCCACTCTCGTTGGCTGCTGGGAAGCCCAGCGGAGGTACGTCATACGCAGATTACCGCGAGACCTCGCCGTCCCCTCTGGGGGGGGGGAGCGGGGCTGCGATCTGCGCAACTGTCGCCACGTTCGTCGGCTCCTGGGAGGGCCAGCGGAGGTACGTCCTCCGCAAGTCACCATGGGACCTCGCCGTCCCCTGAGGGGCTGCTCTGCGAAACTGTCGCAAAGTTTGCGTGTTTCTGCCAGGGCCAGCAAAAGTACGTCATACGGGTGTCACCACGAGACCTTGCCGCACCCTGGGGAGGGGTGCGATCTGCGCACAGCGTCGCCACTGTCGTGTGCTCCTGGCAGGCCCAGCGGAGGTAAGTCCTACGCGGAGCACCACGATACCTCGCCCATGGGTGGCTGCGATTTGCGAAACTGTCGCCACTTTCGTGGGCTTTTTGGAAGGCCAGCGGAGTCACGTCTTACGCGGATCACCAGGAGACCTCGCCGCACCCTGGGGGGCGGCGGTCTGCAAAACTGTCGCCACTTTCGTGGGCTTCTGGGAGGGCCAGCGGAACTACGTCATACGGGTGTCACCACGAGGCCTTGCCGCACCCTGGGGAGGGGTGCGATCTGCGAAGCTGTCGCCACTTTCGTGGGCTCCTGGGAGGGCCAGCGGAAGGACGTCACACGCGGATCATCACGAGGCCTCGCCGTTCCTGGGGGGCCTGCGACCTGCGAAACTGTCCCGATTGTCGTGAGCTTCTGGGAGGGCCAGCGGAATGACGTCCTACGCGCATCGCCACGAGACCTCGCCGTCCCCTGGGGGGCTGCGATGGGCGTCTGGGAGAGTTAGGGAGGGTGACGCGGTGTGTGCGAGCTCCGCGCAGAGAACAACGCATGGCGCCGTCTGTTGCCTTGCCCAGGCCGCATCCCCTCCTCAGCTGCTTGTTGCTTCTAATGCATGCGGGCACATGCTACGTTTAGCGCAAGGCGCTATACTGTCATAGCGCGCTGGGCGCTGTCCTGCAATGCGAACACAGCGCAAGGCGCTGCTACTCCCACGAAGTATGTCTCCAATCGTCCCTCCTCCACATGTTGCCACGCCCCCTCGTGATCGCTCTCCTGCCAACGACTTGACTCTTAAGAGTGACGCCGCAAATGTGAAACATCCGACTCTGGCCCGACGTTATTTGCCGAAGCGTTCAAGGACATTGCGGGTCATTCAATGATTGCTTTTGTATTGAGCGATCTGGTGTATACTCGCCAAATGCTAACACAGGGTTGGATACGTCTCTGGGCTGTTAGAAATAATTACGATGGTGAGCAGATGGGTAATACTGATAAGTACTGAAAGTTCTACGACACCAATAATAATACGAGTACTGATAATAATAATGGTATTAACAATAATAACAATGCTATCAATGATAATGACACTAAGAAACATCAACATGATCATCATCAGCATCATCATCAGCAGCATCATCATCATCGTCAGCAGCAGCATCTTCATCAATCATCAGCATCAGCATCAGCATCAGCATCAGCATCAGCAGCAGCATCAGCAAAAGCATCATCGTCATCGTCAGCAGCGTCAACATCATCATCATCACCACCATCACCACCACCACAACCACCATCACCATCCTCATCAATCTAACCATTAACTGCAACATCACAATTTTGAGCAGCAGCATCGCCATCGTCGAACTCATCAGCAGCATCATCATTATCAGCATCATCATTATCATCATCAAGAGCATCATCATAATCATCATCAGCAGCAGCAGCATCATCATCAACATAATCATCAGTATAATCATCATCAGCACCTGCATTATCAGCAGCAACATCATCAGCAGCAGCGTCATCATCGTCGTCATAGTATTCATCGCAATCGTCATCGCCATCATGATCCGCATCCTCATCCTCATCATCATCATCATCATCCTCCTCCTCCTCCTCCTCATCCTCATCATCCTCTCCCTTATCCTCATCCTCCTCCTCATCCTCCTCCTCATCATCACAATCATCGTGCCCCTCGAAATCGGGAGGGCGGACGGCGCCCGTCCATGACTCGGCCGGCGCCTTCGCCGCCGCCGCCAACTGCACCGCCTGGCGCTCATCCATCTGCTGCCTCTCCGCGGCCTCCTCGCGCGGCCCGCGGGCCTTCTCCTCCATCCTCTCTCTTCACAGATGGCTCCTCCTCGTCTTGCCACCAGACGTGAGGGCAGAGCAGGCCAGGCGTTTCGCCCGAGATCTCCTTCCGCCTAGGACCCCGACGCCTTCAACCCCAAGCACTTGTCATCATGACCCGTCTGCTTTTGGTAAACCGCTCCTTCCTCCTAGTCATCAGTTCGCCTCGTCATTTTCATCATTATCATCCTCATCCTCATCCTCATCATCATCAGCATCATCATCAGCATCAGCATCATCACCAGCAACAGCTAACACATCATTACCAGCCTGCTCGTGTATATGTATATATGTATATACAAAAGGAAAGCTTTGAAATCATCAGGGACCCCTCGGACTTCCTGCAGATGTTCTTCGACTCATGGGCACATCCTCGGGAACGCCAGGAATATCCAAATGATGTCCTGAATCTACCCCAAGGGTTACGAGCGGTATGGGTATCCCGTGGTATCCGAACGAGATATGCTCGAGTCTCACTGCTCGCCCCAGGAACCCTACGAGCTGTTTGAAGGACTCCCACGGGATGCCCATGGTTGGACTTGATTGGTAATTCCCGTGGATCGCAAGATGCCCTAAGAACCCGATGGGTTCTGCAAGGATGTTGAAGGGTTCTTCCGTCGTCGTTCGATTCCTAGAGATGTCCTTGGGCATCGCGACGCCGGGCGCGAGCGAGATCCCTGAATACAACGTAGAAGTATCAGGCCAGCGCCGCTGTTTTCGTAGCCGAGGGGCAACATCGTAAATTGAATATCGAGACTCTCTCTGGCCAACAGAAACACAACAAAAACGGGTGCGAGCCACAGAGAAGGCACTACCCCGCCACCAACGCCAACATCGACATCAACACCAACACCTCGAGAAAGTCTCTGCATACACTGGAGGAAACCCTTTGGGCACTTCTGGATGAATCTGCGCGGGTACAACGCATGCGCGCCGCCGTACCGAAGCTTTCTTTTCGAACCCTTGGTAAGGAGCCCTTCCTCGGGCGAGCGTACTCATAAGTATGTCCTACTGAGTCCTCAATCAAAAATTCTGGACAAGGAGCCCTTGCAATAAGAAGTCCTTACTCAAGAAATTTGTTGAACGAAGCCTTCGTCAGGATCCCTTGCTGAAGACGCCTTAGTAAGGAATATAGATGAAACATCCTTGATAGGAGTCCTTAATCAGGACGCCTTGTGAAGAAACCCTGAATAAGGAAACCTGATCTGGAAAACGCCAATACAGAACCTTGAGCGCGATCATGGGCGTTATGGGGGGGGGGGCGGGGGGGTATATCGTAACACCCCCCCCGCCGTGTGGCTCTGGCACCACAGGAGCCTGTTTTCTAATGTTCTTGGATAGCGGCAATCATCGGCCCCGCCCTCCGCCCCCAGATGACGTCACGTTCCGCGCGGGCGACGTCCAATAATGCTTTGGGACGACCAAGGCCAAGCAGGACCAGCATGTAGGTGGGGATCTGCCCCACAACGCCAATATACACCACAGTGCTCGCGTGCACCACAGCGCGCGTGTACACCACAGTGTCTGCGTACACCGTAACAGCCGTGTGCAACACAGCGCCTATGTACACCACAATGCTTGCGTGCACCACAGCGCCGGTGTAAACCGCAGCGAATGCGTAGACCGCAGCAACCATGTGCAACACAGCGCCTTTGTCCACCACAATGCTGGCGTGTACCGCAGCGCCTGTGCACAACACCACAGCGCCTGTCTACAACATAGCATCCGCGTGCAACGCAGCGCTGGTGTACAGCACAACGCCTGCGTGCACAGGGCAGGTAGAAGGAACATGCAACTGAGGATCTACTGCGGACAGCTGAACACCACGCCAGGGAAGTGTGGATAATATAATGGGACGTTGACGTTTTTCCCTCCTCCTCCCTCCTCCTCCTCCTCCTCCTCCTCCTCCTCCTCCTCCTCCTCCTCCTCCTCCACCTCCACCTCCACCTCCACCCCCTCCTCCTCCTCGTCCTCACGCGGCAGGCTCGATCTGGGGTTTTGCTGAACTGTGCTCGCCGATGCTGGTTACGCTGTCAGCCCTGGAACTCGGGCCTTGGAGTTTCGGCGAGCAGGTGCCGCTGGCCGTCCTTTTCACTGCCTCGTGCTGTCCTCGTCCTCCTGGTGCACGGCCGTGGGGTGATGTCTCCCCTGCGGTGACAATTGCTCAGGGGGCCGCCCTCTTTTTCTTTCTCACTGTGTGTCTGGGCACGGGAAGGATTCTCGTCCGACTGTCTTCCTGACGAGAGGACCAGGGGCAGTGGCGTGTACAGCCGTCGCTGCCCAGCCGATCACGCCTTAGGCGTGTGGTCGGCGGCCCTCGTGCCCTGTCGGCGGACTGCCTGACAGCGTGCCATGTTTCAACGGCGGCTAGTCGTGTCCAGTTGACTGAGGCCCTGTTGTTTGCGTCTGAGCCGAGGGTCGATCCGTGCGGGGAGGGGGCCATAGTGGGCGCTCCGAAAGGAACTCGCGAAGCCCCCCTCCCCAAAGCGGCTCTCGCCGAGGCATGGACGCCCATTTTTGCCTCTTGGCGCTCGCCCTGCCTTGAAGTAACGTGTGGGCTGCAATGTGCGCTGATGCAAAACATCCTCATCTTCCTCCTCCTCCCTCACCCTTCCTCCCTATCGTGCGGGTCGGCGCTACAGCGCACGTGCGCATCTCAGCGCGCACCGCAGAATGGTCAATTGAATCCAGTCCACTTGGTTCTCGGATGGCCAATTCTGCTAGAGCCTCCTGGACGCATGTGGGAGGAGTTCGGATGATGCGGGAAGACTCGTAGATTCCTGCGGCGATCCTTTTTCTATAACAGTTCCTTCCAAATCCTATGTAAAACAATTGTTTTCTGTGCAATCCAGACGCGCTCCATTTTGTCATAAGTAATTTGTTCCAAAACTCTATTTGCGGCAGTGGTGTTCAGTTGCACACGGTTGCTGTGGTGCACACAGGCGCCGTGGTGTACTCAGGCGCTGTAGTGTACGCAAGCATTGTGGTGTGCACTGGTGCTGTGTTGCGCACGGCTGATGTGGTGTACGCAGGCGCTGCGATGCACACAAACGCTGTGATGCCCGCAGGCACTGCACACACTGGCGCTGTGTCGCATGCGGCAGCTGTGGTGTGCATAGGCTGTGTGGTGTACAAAAGCGCTGTGGTGCACGCAGGCACTGTGGTGTACACAAACGCTGCGCGGATCGCCACCTACATACTGCTGATATCCGTCGTCGGTCATTCCTAAGAATTCCTGGACGCCGCCGGCGCACGACGTGACGTCCTCGGCCCCGTCCTCCCCTAGATGACGGCCGCCATCGGCCCCGAATGAAAAAACTGGTTCCAGCCGCGTCCGTGCGCACGACGACGATGAGCGACGAGCGACGAGCGACGAACGACGAACGACGAGCGACGACGACGACGACGCCGACGACGACGGGTATGCCAAAATCAATAAACACGCTCGTTTTGACATATGAATCCTCAATCAGGACTCCTGCGTAAGCAATCGGCGTCCTCAGCGAGGACACAAGTCTTAATGAACAACCCCTTTTTTATAAGAAACCATTACGCATGAGTCCTTAGCAAAGACTGCTTCGTACATAATCCTCCGTCAAGAACCGTTCGTCCGGAGTCCTGGATAGAATTCCCAACTAAGGCGTTACTAACATGGGTGAATGATATGGATTTCCCAGAAAAGAAAACGGAGTGTAGAATCTGCGGTGCGGAATCCTGAGCAAGTGCCACGCCTGCCATGGCCTTTGTACAAAAAAGAAAGGGGGAAAGAGGAGGAGGAGGAGGAGGAGGAGGAGGAGGAACACGCGACCCAAAGAGAAAACAGGGCGGCCAAGAGCACGAGACGCGAACGAACAAAAACCCGTCCAGGGGCAAGAGTCGACCGCAGCAATCCGCGACTCCCCAAGGGAATTCTACCCCAGCTCCGTGCTTCGGATAATGGACTGAATACGACAATCGCGGGCCCAGGCGAAGCGCGCCCTCGCGCGAATGGCGCGAGCAGCGGTGGCGGGGCCGCGGGCGCCTGAGGTGCGCGTCTGATTGTGCGTGGAGTGCACCACGCCGAAGAACGTAGCACACGAGAGGAGCGCAGACTCGGAAAGTGGAAGAAAGAGGGAGGAGAAGCAGACGGGCGACAGCGGCAGCGGAGGCAAAAGAGGGGCGCAGGAAAGGAAAAAACAAGCAATGGGTGGTGGCGGTGGGACAACTGACAAGGTGACGAATGTCATCACCGCCCGCGCGCCCACAGAAATGACATGCCTGGGTGGGACCAGGGAACCACCGAGAGGTGACCCAAGAATTACAGATGGACTTCAAGACTGTGGCACGGATGAAAGGAGGGGCAATCTGCCCAAGCCTCCAGATGAACATATCAAGACGGTCCAAAGAAATGCTGAACCCTCTTCCGAAACGCCGGCCTGGCAGTCAAGTCGAAACGATCAAAGACAAACTTAATGGTCTGAAACTGACAACGGGCATGCCAAAAAACGGGGACTGAGGGGGGGGCGCTCAGCATATCATAGTCCCGGATCAAGTTCTGAGCGATGCTAGTCGAGTGCCAGCTCTGGCCACGCGGGTCGAGGGCATCATCAGACTGGCCGCGCTCGTCGAGGAAGGACCGAGCAGCCTGGAGCGCAGGCGCGGCCACCGCAAGCCGACGCATGCCAGCCTCGGACACCGCCTCGACGGATTTGGCATCAACTTGACAGCCTAGCTGGGCGAGCGCACGCATGGAGACGCTGTCGATGGCGTTGCGGGGGTTGTCCTGAATGAGCTGCAAGCAATTGTCTTCGGCGCGCCTGACCTCAACCGCGGGGGGAAGCACTGACCAACAAACGAGAGAACGGGAAACGCCCCGAGGTTGCACTGGGCAACACTCCTGGGGAAGCCTAGGCCCATATGCTCGATGTCCCACGCCCTGGAGATGAGCTCGGCGCGCGGCCCACTCCAGCTGC